CCCCCACAGAGAGGGGGGGGGGTGGGTTTGGGGGGGGGGGGATCTGAGGCCTTAATGGCTCCTTCTCCTACCTGGGCGTCTCTCTTCGGGAGAGCCCCTATCACCTGCCCTTGGCTATGACTAGCTCCCTCAGGTTCCCTGCGCCCCGGGGGGGTGGTTCAGAGATTTAGTGGCCCTCTTTTTCAGAAGAGCACCACCGCACTCTATTTGCAGCATGTCGCCCCGAGTGTCAAAAGTTTTTGGGCACCTAGAATAAGCGAACTTATTGCCGAATAAGCAGATTTTATTTTTCCTGTGGTCCATAGGGGGGGGGGGGGGGGACCTGGGGGGGGACGGAGGAAAGGGGGTGTACATGGTGAGAGCTGAAGGGGTTAAAAAGAAATCCGGTTGACATGGGTTACAGTGCGTTTTATTTCATCTTTGTGCTGCTTTGTCGGATCTCCTTGAAATGTCACTGGTACTCACGTACACTCTCTCTATTGTGTTTGCAGACTCTGTTCCCCAGTCCTGAAGATGGTTGGCAAATTTACACATCAGCGCAAGCGCCGGACGGCAAATGTATCTGCACCGTGGTGGCCCCTGCCCAGACCTCCTGCTCCAGAGACCCCCGGAGTCGGCAGCTAAGACAGCTGATGGAAAAGGTAGGCCGCAGCAGCGTGACGCAGAGAGACAATAGTATCGGTGAAGGGAAAGGTTGAAATATGCAAGAGATGCAGAGATTTTGCGGTCTCATTTAATATTCATGAGAATGTACTGATGGGCTTATACAATCCGTCAACGCTCAGGGCAGCGATCATGTACAAAGTGCACCGCCTCAGGGCTGGAGCAATCCCAGGAGCTCCGTAGCCAACACACCTAAAACATTTCAGCTACACTTTATATCTTGTTCTATTCAGTGGTATAACAATCACCATAGCGGCCACTATGGGGCCCGGGGCACAGTGGGGCCCGGCCAGATACCGTGCGGGCCGCCTGGGTCGCTATGGGATCCTCTGCTGGTGGCTTTCACTGGTCGGCTGAAGAGGAACACGCCGCTGTTCAGATCGCTGACGGTAATCTGTGTAGAGTCGCGCGTTCCTCTCCACAGAGTCAATGAGAGCCGGCAGCGGCGGTGGAGCAGGCTGGACCCGGCAGTGGAGGAGGAGGAGGTGGGGCCCGTGGTCGGCAGCAGAGGAGGAGGTGGCGAAGAAGGAGGCGGGGCCCATCAGCGACAGTGGACAAGGGAGAGGCGGACAGGTAAGGAGTGCGATCAGCCCACCTGAGGGAGACCCTGTGCAGAGCCCACCATAGAGAGTCTATGGTGGGCTCTGCAGGTTCACCCTCAGGTGGGATCTCGAGTGGGCTCTGCAAGGGGTATAACTAGAAATCACGGGGCCCCATATAAAATTTTGCTATGGGGCCCTGTGATTTCTAGTTATGCCCCTGGTTCTATTCCTCCATGATGTACGGTTCCCATCACCTTAAAGTGGAGCTGAACTCTGAAAGTGAAGATTTGCTGTGTTAGAAGCAATATCTAGAAGTGTTGATTGTGCTTCAGCAGTTCCCTGGAAAAAAAATTAGCTTTGCCTTGAATTCCTTCTAAAAAAACAGCAGAGCTCTTCCCGGCATGTGAGTGTGTCTCGGCACTCCTGTGTCTACAGCCTCATAGTTGTATATCTGCAGTGTGAGATCTCAGGCTCTGCTGTCTCTGCTAGTCTTAGGAGATTCGGATTGAGATCTGGTGATGTCTACGGTTGCCACCTTTTCTACATATATACAGAGAGCAGAGACAGCCAGGAGAGAGAGAGTGAGGAGAGACAGCCAGGAGAGAGAGAGAGAGGAGAGACAGCCAGGAGAGAGAGTGAGGAGATACAGCCAGGAGAGAGGGAGAGGAGAGATCCAGGAGAAAGATCGAGGAGAGACAGCCATGGGAGAGAGGGAGAGGAGAGACAGCCAGGAGAGACATCCAGGAGAGAGAGCAAGGAGAGAGAGCGATGAGAAAAAGCCAGGTGAGAGAGAGGAGAGAAAGCCAGGGGAGAGCGAGGAGAGACAGTCAGGAGAGACAGCCAGGAGAGAGAGCAAGGAGAGACAGCCAGAGAGAGAGCCAGGAGGATGAGCGAGGAAAAACAGCCAGGGGAGAGATAGGAGAGATATCCAGGCGAGAGAGTGAGGAGAGACAGTCAGGAGAAACAGCCGGGAGGATGAGCAAGGAGAGAGAGCTAGGGGAAAGAGAGGTGTGGCAACCAGGAGAGACAGCCAGGAGGATGAGCAAGCAGAGACTGCCAGAAGAGAGAGATAGGAGAGACAGCAAGGGGAGAGAGAGGGGCGAGATGGCCAGGGGAGAGCGAGAGGAGAGACAGCCAGCAACACATCTGCCTAAAGCAGAACCCCTGTGCCCTTGAAGACTTATCTGCACCCTGTGTTTCAGACACCTCCTTGCTCCCTGAGTTCCAGTGCCCATCCATGTCCTCCGCCTCCTCCATGCACTCAGGTTGGAAGGCCCTGCGGTTGCTCCTGTCTACCTGACATTGTGACACTTTGTGTTCGGTTTTCAGTTGGCCTGAAACCCAAACACAGCACATACAGGACTCACACAGCGGTGTATTTACAAATTCTGCTGCCCTAGGCAAGACAGCAACGCCGCCCTCCCCCCGCCGGCCGTCACCATCAGCAGCAACCCCCACCCGGGCTGACATTATATGCCGCTGCCTCCCCATCAGCACAAGCCTAACCCCCCCCCCGGGCGATCACTCACCGGCAGAGCAGTCAAAGCACCGCCGACCGCTGCCTGGACACCGCCGAAAGCCTGCCTGGACACCGCCGCAAGCCGCGTCCACGTTCGCGCAAGCCGCCGTCCTCGTCCCCGCCGGCCGTCCTCGTCCCCACCGCTACGATGGCCTCCGGTTCTCTCCCCTTCTCTTGACCGCAGCAATTGCCGCCCTCTGGGAATCTGCCGCTCCAGGCAAACGCCTTGTTTGCCTCGCGGCAGATATGCCCCTGGACTCACATATCAGACTGTACAGGTGAATTCCGGACAGGGGGCAACCCTAGTGATGTCAGCACTGTGCTGCTCACTGTTCTCCTTGCTGGAGAGGATGCTGTACCTGAGGACCTGTAGTGTAAGGATCTCCCTGCTTCATCCATCCTGTAGATCTGTGCTCCTCCACCTCTCCTGACACTTTTTTAGATAATTTCCCTACCAGTCATAAGATCACCAATCATCTGTGGCAGCTCTGACATAAGGAAACAAGGCCCTGATCCTCTACCATGGTAGCCGCCCACAAAGAGAGACACAGTGCAGAACAAGGCATGCTGAGATAGTGATGGGGAAAATATCTGCTGCAGGGAGACCACAGGCAGTACGGGTGACTAGTACTTTGCCCCATGCTTGCCTTTTTTTGAGTACAGATTCTAGAATTCAGTTCTTCTGTGTGCACAATGCATACTACTCAGCCCAAGCCCTCCTAAAGAGATAACTTGCCACGATTATGCTATTATAGTCATTGTCACCACCCCCACCCCTGATTCCATGGGTCAACTTTGACATATAATGGTAATACAATGGTCTTCTCAGTCATTGCTAACTTCCTAATAAAAGAGAACATGGTGCGTTACACTTTACCTTATCATGAGAAAGGGCCATTGGAACAAATACTGGAGTGCTCCATCATTGACCAAGTTCCTCAAAGACTAAGGGCCCACACTGCGACTTCCTTATCTCAGATGATGAACCAAATGTCTCCTCCTACCTTGACCTGCCAGTCACTCACATTGTCTGTTGCTGTGGTTTGTCCAACCACAACAATCCCAATCTCTACTCACCCTTAGAACACCAAAATGTCTTTGTAGCTAGAGATGCTAATATTGTCTACAGAGGACCGATCGCTCACGGTGCCTGACAAAGCAGGACTGTAATTCCTAATGGGTTACAATTGTGTCAAGTAAAAGAGGGGTTAAGGAGTGCCAGTGTAGAAAAGGAACGGTAAGTGGGAGTGAATATTGGGGCATAACGCCCACCCTACCCATGCGGTTGAGGCATGCCAGTGTAGAAAAGGACTGGTAGCTGGGAGTGAATATTGGGGCATAAAGTCCATCCTACCCAGGCAGTAGAAGAGTGCCGGTGTAGAAAAGGAATGGTAGGTGGGAGTAAATATTGGGGCATATTGCTAAATATTGGGGCATAAATACCACCCTACCCATGCGGTAGAGTAGTGCCCGTGTAGAAAAGGAACGGTAAGTGGGAGTAAATATTGGGGCATAACGCCCACCCTACCCATGCGGTAGAGGAGTGCCAGCGTAGATAAGGACCGGTAGGTGGGAGAAAATATTGGGGCATAACGCCCACCCTACCCATGCGGTAGAGTAGTGCCAGTGTAGAAAAGGACCGGTAGGTGGGAGTAAATATTGGGGCATAACGCCCACCCTACCCATGCGGTAGAGGAGTGCCAGCGTAGATAAGGACCGGTAGGTGGGAGTAAATATTGGGGCATAAAGCCCACCCTACCCATGCGGTAGAGGAGTGCCAGCGTAGAAAAGGACCGGTAGGTGGGAGTAAATATTGGGGCATATTGCTAAATATTGGGGCATAAAGCCCACCCTACCCATGCGGTTGGAGGAAGGGCAGTGTCAAAAGGACCGGTAGGTGGGAGTAAATATTGGGGCATAACGCCCACCCTACCCATGCGGTAGAGGAGTGCCAGCGTAGAAAAGGACCGGTAGGTGGGAGTAAATATTGGGGCATAAAGCCCACCCTACCCATGCAGTAGAGGAGTGCCAGCGTAGAAAAGGACCGGTAGGTGGGAGTAAATATTGGGGCATAAAGCCCACCCTACCCATGCGGTAGAGGAGTGCCAGCGTAGAAAAGGACCGGTAGGTGGGAGTAAATATTGGGGCATATTGCTAAATATTGGGGCATAAAGCCCTGGTAATGGAGAGGTGTCAGTGTAGGAAAGGAACAGTAGATGGGAGTTAGTATTGGGGAATAAAGCCCACCCTACCCTTACACTAGGGCTCAGAGTCTGGTATTCCAACCCTGTTGTGACACCTTGAGCTCGACCCATATGGGTCGTAGAATTGTAGCACATCAGTGTGACCAGATGGGGCTGATTTATAACTCCCGCCCAGCGTAAAACTTGACGAATGCCATTACCACCCCACTACCGCCACTAGATGTAGTCAAGGACCATAGGAGTTCCTATGCTCCTCAGCGCCATCTAGTGGTGGTAGTGCCGTGGTAATGGCATTCGCCCAGCTCTACGCTAAGTGGAAGACGTATGAGTCAGCCCCTAGTGTATATGTACTACAATGCGATGATACAAAACACCATTCATCACGAGTTTGAACCCACCATCACTCAGCCCACCCACCTTCCACCGACAGGTCCTCATGATCAACATACCAGACGATGTTTTTGTTGCCGAAAAACTGATTTACACCGGATCATTATACGGTACTACCAATTCGATATCCAGGGTATGGAAATACTCGGTATGATTATACGGTGCTGCGTGTTTTATATGGCGGGATGGAAATGTTTTCAGACAGTTATAATTGCCAGGGTGACATCTGTAATTTGGCTAATTAAGCCTCGCTAACCGTTTATTTAATGCGGGTTTAATGAATTCCCATTAGCCAGACCCCATGGAAAGGCATGGACTATAAA